ACCTAGCAGCATGAAATTTGGCAGGAATGTAGATGTGTCTGACCTGCATGGATTTATTTTGTTGTTCAGCTCTCATCAAGGGCTAGCTATCAGGCCCACCAATGAGCATCCCCCCAAACATCCCCCAAATTTTTGAATGCACCTAACAGCATGAAATTTGGTAGGAATAGAGATGTGGCCAACCTGCACTGCATCAGCCATTGGTTTTACATTGGTTTTTATTGAGCTTCATCTGAAAAAATAAATAAAAAAACAAATAAATAAAAGTGTGTGTGTGTGTGTGTGTGTGTGGGGGGGGGTGGTCCTGTACATACAAAAACGGCTATAACTCAAACACTATTCAACATAGGAGCATCAGATTTATTGTTCAGCTCTGATGAAAAGCTATCCATCTGGCCCACCAATGAGCAATACTTCACATTTGTGCGAGGGTCATATATGTTACCGCTATATGTCAGGATTGGTGGAGGAACGGACCCAGGGCGCAGGCATGTTTCAAAAGGTGCAAAAAAGGATTTATTTAAAAAAACAAAAGAGGGCCGATGGCAGCAAACTTACAAGTTCATGGAGGGAACGCTCAGGCAGAAGATCTAGGTACAGAGCAGGAGACTCACAGAAACACAATGAACCGACAATAAGATTGAGACAGGACAGGGCTTAAATACACTGAAAACTAATGACTAAACAGAAAACACCTGAGGAGAAACACAAGGGTGATAATCAAGGTACTGTGGGGCAGCTGGGCAGAGACACACAGGGGAACATAGAACACGCTAGGAAAACCAAGGGAAATGAATACAGACTATGACACTATGCAGTTTACTTTTTTTACTTAAAAAACTTTTTTTTATATTTTTCTTTAATACAATGAAAAACAATAAATACATATTTTGGAGGTGGGCTATCTGTCCCCAGAATTTTGAAGCAAACCTATGTGTTTAGTCTGCTTAGAGATGCTCGTCATGTAAATATTTCATCAGAATAAAACAAATATAGCAATGTGTCAACTCTTTGTCAAATTCTTTTCATTTCTGAAGGGAGTCGACATTCAAATGTTTCATTGCAGTGAGAAAATCCAAGTCATTCCTCAGAAACTTCACAGTGTTGCAAACGTCCCGTCTGAAGCNCACACACACACACACACACACACACACACAAACCTGTTCCCCAAAACACACACTTTTTATTACTTTCTGTTCAGCTCTGGAAAAAGAGAAACGCTTAATAACTTGTGAAATTAAGTAAATAGAAGTTTGAACAAATCTTTCACTCACAACTCAAAACCCTGACTTCTTAAAAATATTGATGAAAAAATTGGGTTTTCTTAGCTTTAGCACCAATATAAGTTCTTTTGTTTCATTTTATTTGTCTGTAACTTACAGGCACAGATGTCATTAAACATCATTAAAGAAGCGATGTAAGATGTTGACCTAGTCTCTTTCCATACAGGTCAGTGGAAAGAATTTGGCCCTGCCTGAAGGAATAGACTTCCTCAGCTTGCAGGGTTATGAAATCCTGGTCTGGTTTGTTTCTGTGTTGATGCTGATCACTGCAGGGCGAGGAAAGAAAAGTGTGAAGTGTTTACCTTTTAGGTGAAATAAATATTTATAGATGTCAAAAGATGTACATATCCTTCCACATAGCACTGATTGCATCTGGTAATGTTTTATTTAAACTTTTTCTAAACCAAACTGATTAAACTTGTTTTAATAAATGGGGATGCAAAAAAAGGACATCTAAGAGATTGTTAGTCATAAACTACTGCTCACAGGATGTGTGTTCAGATTTTCAGTTTATAGACTAGTTTTATGTGTGTCTGGAACTACTATTATTGTTGTATACAATCCTTTTAACAGAGAGTTTCAAAACATTTAACTTAAATGTCGGGAGTGACGCTTTAAATTTAATCAGCCTTTCAAATATATGGGTCATAACATTCGGACAATTAGTCTTGCAGACACTTGTATAGTGAAGCTATTCATCTGAGCATCCAGTTTTCTGCATAAAGGAGTCATAGCAGGTGGACACAACTGCTAATTATTCTAAGATGACTTCTGATTGTGAGACAACCCATTTTTTTCCTCAACAGCAGATATTGGACAGAACAAACAGGAACAAGTTTTTTGTTGAATGATTCTCTGTTGCACGGTGGGAACACAAGTCCCTGCAACTGTGGGTAATGGGATCTGGGTGTGTTGGTTTATCCAAACATCACTAAGTATTTAATGACAGAGATGCTGCATTTAAATCTAATCCAGTTAGACAGACTCCCTTTTTACATAGAACAAACAACATATGGTTCAAAATAGCAAAAACCACAAAACATTGAGTAAATGTTCAAGAATTTTGGAGTTCTTCGATTCTGTCAACATTCGAATCCACTTCTTTCATCCTTATTGTAGTTTGTGAAATTGCTACCAAAAAGCACTAAACTACTAATATAGTATATTAAAATATTCAAAGACTAAGAGATAACTAAAGAAATTGTGCAAATCTATTGTGTTTATTTAAACTTAACCTAAAATGTAAGGAAATATGTGTTTGGTTGATTATTTTGTTGTTGCAACAATGCTTCTTGACAATAAATCTTATAGCAGCACCTGGGGGTAGAGAAACTCAAAACGTGTCAATAGCAACAGAAAAATAAAAATCAATAATAAAATAATAATGATATTTTTTCATGTGCACAATCCACATGCTCAACTCTACTTCTCATCCCACAAACGCATGTTCCTTACAAATGTGATACAATTTAAATGGGAAATTAACAGGCTGTCCAACCACATATTGCCAAGAAGCATTTTTACAATGAAATAATCTAACAAACACACATTTCCTTACTTTAAGGCTAAGTTTATTATTATTAACCTAAAATTTGATTCACTTTTAGTCTTACTGAGCCATGGGGAGTGGCCTGAAAATGTTTCTTTTCCTAAATGGGTGTGGGGTATGAAAAGTTTTAGAACTACTACTTTCCAAGTTTGTCTTGACTTGCCAAGACTTGTCCAAGTTTCTTTAATTAGGAAACTGTTAATTTTACTACAATCTTCCAAAAGACGCTTTAAAACGAGGATTAACTTTTCTCCAAAAAAATCTGCTCAGTTTTATGATCAGATTTACAGCGTCTGATGTGCAAGTCTGAGGAATTTTGCTACAAGTCACAAATGCAGCCCTGTGGTTTTAAAAGTGTGTGGTATGGAGAAAAAGCTGCCTCAGAACTCGGGTGTAAAATGAAGACAAATTGAGGGTCTTGTGTTTTTGGAAATTTTTGTGGAAAAAAAAATCTTGCATTTAAAGGCTAGAGAAGAATGTGAACTATTACGTCATGGCGCTAAACTTTAAATTTTATTTTGAATGAAGAAAGAAAAAAAAAGAATTGTGAGTAATAAAAATGAAGAAAAATGCGTTAGAACAATAAGTTAAATACAAGATTTGTGTCAAAGAAAATATTTAAAACATAAAATGCAAAAAACATGCAGATGACAAGTTACACTGTGTGTTAAAATAAACACAAACAAATATGTACAAAACCAAAAACAAAATGTAGTGAAATTTTACCTAATTTAAAGAAATTACTAATGTAGATGGAAAGTCAGCAGCTAAACATGACTTTTCCCAAATTAGAGATACAAAAGGAAAATTTGATTTTCACTTCAACTTGAAACAAATGTTCTGTTAGAAATATTACAGTAATTAAAAATGACATCACTCAATTCAACCCAGTTCACTCCATATGGCTGCATATTAACACACTTTTAATCTTCATAAAGAAGATTACAAGAAACACAAACTAACTTTTCTCACTCCCATCCCTCTTTCCTGCTCTCAGAGGAAATGCTGAAAACCATTTTATTTGYTTTATGACCTTGGCTGCAATCAGACACATGAATTCATTGCAGGAAGGGAATTAACGTGATGCATTTTCCCAACTTCTGTCTTTTTCTCTCCTCYATGCAAGAGACAACGAATCTGAGTATTCCATCCAAGAAAACTGTAACAGTGAGTATTACTCCCACATGTTGCTGGGTCCTGCTTTACAAGGGTTTTATTTCAGCTTTTCATTGCTTCATGTCTGAACTCAGATGCACACAGACATTTTTTTAATCTGCCATTAGAAGTGGAGAGCATTTTGTTGTCAACATGGAGAGGTTTTACTAAAGCTCAGTCAGTTTTTGTTTTGAAAATGAACTTTAAATCTTCAAAGTGGGAGCTGAAATTCCTCTGTCAGTCAGATGCATGAAGAAAAGAAACTTACGGTACAAAAAACCCTCACCCTCTTACATTTTTTAACCCAGTGAGAGCTCAGAAAATGGGAACTACAAAACCAAAGTAACACACCAGGGGTTGAACGGAATAATTTCACTATTATTCTCATATTTTTGATTTGAATTTGTATTTCAGACATTCAGGTATTTGTTAGGAGAYGTTTATTTTACAACTAACAAATACTATTCTTCAGATAAGTTACAGTTCAGTAATTTCACTTCTCAAGCTTATTAAAAGAAATTCCAGGTACAACTACAGCATCAGATAGTTGATGTAAAGTGAATTAAAAAGTAAAAAAACAAACAAACAAAACAAAACAGAATGTTCTCAATTTTGCGCAGAGTCTGAAAAGTGATTTGTGTGTAAATCAGAAACATATGCAGAAATTCCTGTTAACATGAGTATAATGGTTAAATATGTGAAAAGATAAATCAACCCTTTACAACCAAAACTGAACACCACAAGTAAATATTTTGAACAAAATGCAGAAGTGTGCTGATTTCATAAAAGTTACATCCAAGTTTAGTCCCATCTGGGTTTAAAAAATAAACCTTTCTAAAAGAAATGTTCATCATCGCAAACACACCAATCATCAATTTCAGGGTTTCATTGTCAAACTGATGGAAAACTGCAGCAGTTACTGAAATCAATGTGGGCTTTGTCGATTTGCAAACTAAATTTGCTAAAATTTTTGCATTTAAAATGTTTGTGATCTGTATATATA